TGGGGTTTGGAAGGGCTGACCTTGCGATACGTGACTCTGCAGCATGAACGCATCAGGGGATGTTGGTGTGGGCGATTCTCCACTTTCCAGGGCCTTGCAGGGCCCCAAGGAGGAAGATCTGGGATTGGATGCCTCAGAGGAGGTGGAGGCCTTGTGTTCCACCACAGCAGGGGTTGTCATGTGGCCTGAGGAAGCAAGGGATCTATTTAGCCTCCAGCCTTGTGCCCGTCTCTGTCCCCCACCTTCTCTTGTGGGAAAAACCAGGTCACCTGCCCAAGTGCAGAGAAAAACTTGCTTCAAGGCTTTGGGTAAAGTAAACTACACTGCAGCAAACCTTGACTAACCAGAACATCCAAGCAATAATAGTATTTTCTGTTTAACTGGGTGCTGCCTAGCAGGCAGTTGGACAGAAAATTCTCTCTGCTTAGATCTTTGCAACAAGCGGTCAACACCCTGTCTTGGCAGGTCCCCGGGTGAAGTTTCCTTTGTGGAACTCAATGTTCCGGAGCCTGGGTTTTGTCATGTTTGACTCTTGGTGTCTTTTGTTGTTGCTACAGACCCCAGAAGAAGTTAGCAGTAGCTGCAGCTACCCAGGCTGCCACCACAGGTAGTGCCAGTCCCTGGAGGTATGCAAGCAGAACTAGGAGCACCATTGACCAGGAATATGACAATCAGAAGAAATCCTAGGCAGAAGGATGAACTAAATCCTCATTGTATAAAGTGTGGTTAGAGGACCAGCAGCGTCAACATCACTTGGGAACTTACTAGAAATGCAGAATCTCAGACTCCATACTAGACCCACCGAATCAGAATCTGCATCTCTCTCTCTCTTTATTTTTTGGCAGCTGGCTGGTTTGGGGATCTGAACCTTTGACCTTGGTGTTATAACACTGTGCTCTAACCAACTGAGCTAACCGGCCAGCCCAAAATCTGCGTTTCTAAGTTCCCTTAAAATATTTATGTGCATATTAAAATTTCTGAATCATAGAACTAAATGATCCAAGGATCTCTTATATCTCATAATCTCTAAGATTTCATAAAAAACAGGCTAGAAACTAGACATCACACTTGTTCTGCTTGGTCTACAGGGTGTTTTTGTTTTGAGCTAGCATTAAAAAATCAAGAGATATCATATTTTTAAAATGTTTATTAAATTTCCCTCTTCTCTTGAAATCAAAAGCCCCACATGGGGTGTGCATCACCACTCAGCACTGTTCTGCTGGAGCTGAAGAGTGACAGTCCCCGTTATCCAGGGCTTCATGCTTCAGTTCTCGTGTTCCCTACCATTCCCCATGGACCCCAAGATACCAGGATTTTCTGAACAGCCCTTAAGGCACTTGCAGACGTTGAGCTTAGGACTCCTAGAGTAGCAGATATTAGGATTATAGGTGCTCCTGGAGGTTGCTTTGCCTTTTTTTTTTTTAGCTGATTTGTGAATTCTGCAAGCTTAGTGGTTTTACCCTCCTTTCTAAAGAAAGGATGTATAAGAAATCTAAAATCCACCACCTGTAGGTTCTGGTTACCTAAGGTGGTGCTGCTACAATGAGTAATTTAGTGCAATTTAAAAAGCCTTTTAACTGCATTCAAAGATGATGAATTAAAGATTTAAACACACACACACACACACATTTTAAAAAATGATTTACATTCTCAAATATCTCCCTTAAGATTTTCTCTGTACTTCGGTCCCAGACATTGAAGGGCAGATTCTGCATTGCTGGCCTTGGACCTGACAGTGTGGATGTAGCTCTCAATCTTCTGCCTCTTCCCTCCCTACCCGACCCCACTTTCCTACCCCTGCCCTCCCTACCTCCCTCCTTCCCTTCCCACCTGCAAGGGGCCTGGAGTAGTGAATGGTGTGTGATTTTTGGGGGCCTCAGGGAAGAGTTGATCCAGGGTTAGGTGTGGGAGGATAAGCTCAGGCAGGCTTGGGCAGGGCACCTCCCAGAAGAGGAGAAAGAAGAGCTGGGCCCAAACCCAGCTTGGGGTAGAGGTGGAGTAGGCAGGACTGAGCAGGTCCCTTCCCACCTGTGACTCAGCTTCATTCCCAGGCCAGTGAAGGAGAGCCCTGTCCTCCCCAGCTAGGAGAACTCGGGGACCCCCATCCCAGAGCTCACAGAGCTACTGGGAGAAGAAAAAAGGTCAAAGGTTAAGCATCAGTCTCCTCTCTGCCCCCCAGTTCCCTTCACCGGTGTCCCTGTCTCCCTCTCTGACCCTTGTCTCCTCTCTGTCCCCAGTGTCCCTTTTCTGCCCAGCAGTTTCTCCCTGCTTTTCTCTGCAGTTTCCCCTATCTCTGTGGAAATGGAAACTTTCTTCCTGGGCCCAGGCAGTTATCCAATCTTAGAGCCATGACTCAAGTACCCCACCCTGTTGTTCTGGGACCCAGGCACCTCCAGCCCATGAGAGCACCTGGCTTGGTCACTGGGCATTCCCCACCTTCAGATGTGTTTACGCTACCTCTGCCAGCTGGCCTGTGCCAGGAGCTCACACTTGGGGCTGTCCTCACCTTTGGGATGGCTCTGTAGCTGGGACTAGTGATGGCCAAAGCAGGGACCTCTGATGCTGCTGCTTTGATCCCATAGCAGAGACTTCACAGCGTGTCCCAGGGCTCACCTGGCGCCTTCTCTTTGTGCTGCTCCTCAGGGTCTGGGCCCTGCACCCCGTCCCTATCTGCAGTGGACCCCAGGTACCCCTCTTTGGGGAGGTGGGTGAGCTGCTCTTTGGTAGGGATTTGTGACACTGCATTGCTGGGCTGTGTTCACCAGGATCTTCTGGACCTTGCACCATGACACCAGGACGTGTGCTGTGGTGTTTGGGTCCTGGGAGGGTGGGGGCTGAAATAAAGGTGTGCTTTCTTCCATTTCATGGTGTGTGGTCCTTTTGGCCTGGAGGGGTAGTCTGGACACCCCCATCCCTGGAATGCTCAAACCTGGCATTGCCAGGAAGGACTTCGGATAGAGGTGAACCCTAGAGATGACCTGGGCAGTGGGAGGTGAGCTGAGACCAACAGCCTCCAGGAATTCCTCTGCTCAAGGGAGTCTGCTCTGAGAGGACCAAGTGGGAATGCCTCAGGCTTCTGGAAAAGACCAGAGACTTTGAGGCTCTGGAAGTGAGTGATGTGACTTCATCCCTTGATTGCAGGCAGGAGAGAGGAAGGAAGAGGCAGGCAGAGCTTGTCTGTGGCCATGACCCATGACCCATGGAAGCCAGAGTCCAAGACTGAAGGAACAGGGCCCCAAGTACAGGAACAGGGAGAAGTTAAGGTCCACTGGTCTTTGGGCAGGACCTCGCCAACATCCCACACTCCACCTCCAACCCCTCAAGAGCCTGCCACTGGGGCATTCAAACAGGACAGACTACCCCAAAGCCACCAATGGGTGGGGAACACATACATCTTCTTGGAGCCCATCTGGTCCCATCCCAGGCCCAATGTTTCTGACATGATGACTTGTAATGGACACATGGGCTGTTCTGCTGTCCTAGCATCCATCCTGCTGGATGGTAGGTAGCCACCTGTGACCCACTGTCAGTCCTTACGGAACTGGGTAGAAGTGATCCTCAACTTTCCCCTCCAGTACAGCCAAATCATCCCATCTCTATGACCACAGGAATTGCTTCAAGGACAGGGCAGGTGACCTGGGCCAGGCAAATGAAGCTCAGTGCTGAGA